CCCCTCCCCTCCCGCGCTAGCTAAGGGCCACCTTAGCAAAGCGCATCCCAGGCTGCATAGCCCCACTACCCTACCCAACCATACCACACATAAACATGACACTACCCCCGGGGGTTTACACAGACCAGCCGGCGAAGCAAGAAGAGCGCCAGAAGAAAGGGCCCTAGCCGGCGGGGCCCAGCCAGGACAAAATGAAATCCCACAAAGCGCCTACACCGGCCGCATTTGCGGTCGGGGTAGACGACGGATGGGGCCCACCTACGAAGACTGTCCAGGCCTACACGAGATGAGGCAGGATAAAGAGGGATAATCCCCCTCGATCCCAAATCATTGTGGCCAATTTCTAGCCATGGAATAATGGCGCGTGGCGCGGTTACATTATTACACGAAAGTGGAGTTGAATTCATATTCTTTCTATTATTTTTTTGTGCAGCTTTTGTCGCCATATCCTATATGATTTTAAAAGATATATTTCATCAATTTCTTCTAAATAACAATAGACTGACACTCTTGACATTGTTTTTGGTTCCTGTCGCCGATTTTTTTTTTGTATGTATAGCACACTTTTTCGGCGACATTTGAAAATACACGGGAAGGGTAATGTCGCCGTACTCCCTTCGATTTTTTACCCTATTATTCTGTCTCACCATACTGGCACTTGAAATTAAAATTATTTTTTAACTATTTTTATGTGTAGGGGCTGTAAAGTAAGATTACCCTAAAATTAACTCATGGTTTTAATTACATCTGAAAGAACATGGTAGACGCCGCTGACGTCCAATTTGTGACCTAGTGACCTGTGTCAATATTTATTTAATTCGCCAGGCGCCACTGATGCCATTTCCAAAAAACTTTTAAACTTATATTTTTTATAAGTTTATTTTATACACGTTATTTTTATTAAGTAAATTTTACATTTACTACACTTGGGACTATAACGATATAGTGGGTTACAGGCTACAGTGCAGACTGGTAGGGATCTCCAGCATGCCAGTCGAAGTTCTGTGAACTTCGCATAATATTGCTACAAGTTGATGTATAACCAACAATTTTGAAGTACCTACCTGAATATTATGGCTAATACTATCCCTTTAGAACTTTTAAATCACATCAAATGAAATATCATTATTATCAGCAACATATAAAATCTTAAAATAAAACAAATATATTTTAGAAATTCTGTATCAAAATAATAAATTATTCAAACTTAACAATCCTTTTCCGAAGATATTAAAACAGAATATTTATTATTAGGATCAACTGCTGTTTCTCCTTCAGAAGAATCTTGTTTATAATCAATTTCATTTACTTTAGGTTTCTTCTTCTTTCTTCTTCGCTTTGGTGGAGCGTCACTTTGGACATTAGTTAAATGTTCTTTCAAGTTTTCAACAACCGAACTGAAACCATTGAATACTGTAGGACTATCTTTTAATAACAATTTTACGTAACTATCCAGGTTCGATCTCTTCATAAAATTTACTGATAAATTATACACAAAGGTACCATTAAAAATATCAGACATAATAAAATTGGAAAATGGTAAATTTAACAGGTTATTTAAATACTTAACATGTAATAGACAACTCTGAAATTGTGCCATTGAGTGCAATACATTTCTATCATATAATCGATAATTGGTTTTCAATTTAACATCCAAATGAAAATAAGGAAACAAATTTTTCAAACAGACCAATGAGTCATTATAGTTTATATTTTCTAGAGTATCAATTGTGCATAATTTGATAGAATGATTTGTTTTGTTATTGCTATCGCTAGAAATTGAAGTCATATTTAATTTTTTCTCCAATGCTTTTTTTGAACGGCACAACCCAACATGTTTATCTATATAACACAAAAATATTTTACACATAATTAATGCATAGACAATTGGACAAGTAATAACAGATTTATCAATTAGATATTTTACAGTTATAATAAATAAATGCCAGGATTCTGGAAAGAAGCTTAAACAGTTTTTAGTTATATTGGCATCAATTTTAAGTACTTTCAGTAAAATATACTTTCTGGAAGGCAGATTAATATTTTGGATTTCCATTAAAGTGGGCATATTAACATCACAAGAAGGTAATAACACACTTTTCACACGGCCATTAGTATTTCTTGCCACACATGTTAAGTTATCCTTAGAATTTTTTAAAACCTTGTGAATAGCACTAAGTATCTCGGAACTAACCGCATGTGAATATTCTTGTGCATCATCCTCAACTTGTGGTATGCAATAATATTTATTTTGTTTCAAAATATCCATAAAACTGGGAGGATATAAACATCTTCTATACTTTTCGATAAAAATTGTTGGTACATCTGAATTTAATTCACCGTCATCAAAATTGAAATCACCATGATCTTCATTTGTTGAAGAGGTATCTTCTTCAGAATCAGAATCAATTTCTGAATTATCTATATTCTCATCCTGAATATTTTCATCGTCAATATAATTAATGTCTAAGGGTGCTTGCAATGCTTCCTTACACTGAATAGGAGTTATATCTAAATATGACAAATATGCACTGTCAGTACAATTATATCCTTTTATTGCAGTATTAATCTTGTTGGCGATCAACTTCCTTCTTTTACATTTATATCGACTTAGAACTTTTTGTATTGCAGAATCAGTAGACTCATTTTGAAGCCAAATTATAACCGACTTAATCCTTTTTTGTTGATCATTTTGTTTACCATGACATTTCTGTATTTTCAAATTTCTATAAAACATTGAAAACACACTTCTCTTCACATAATCGTTTCCTAATAGCACAGCTAAAATGGGTAAACTATTTTTATCCAAACCACCAAATGATTCTAAAAATTTTTCAATTCTGTATACTTTGCAAAAAATATAGGTATAAGGTTCATTCGTCTGGGTCCTTTTCTTCCTCCTTGCACACAATTCAAATGTAGAAAATGGTATATATAAAACGTCAAATATAAAAAAGTCTGAATCATAACTCAGAACTGGACAATTTAATCTTCTTGCTATATTAGCTATTTCTGTATCACTCTCAAAGTCACATCTTACACATTTTATGTTTAGTTTCAAAACAACATCCTGAAAGATATCCCTTAAGAATAATGGAAAAACTGATATGCTACCTTCTGTTACACTATTAAGCTGTTGAGCAGATTTTATTTTATTTTTCATTCTGCTTATAACAGTTGCTACCTTACGGCTTTCATAACCACCATCAAAGACAACATATGGAATTATATTGCAACTGGATAACATTTGAAAAAAGTTTTCTATCAATGCAGCATACTTATCATAATCACCTCCAAAACAGTCATTAGATTTACAATGCCACTTATATAGTTGGCATGCAATTGCATTTCCATCTATTACGATACTGGTATCATGAAGATCATATTCCTCTAAATACAAGTGTGATCTATTCTGAATAAATGTTGTTAAACCACGTATACCCATTTTATTCTCCTATGATTCTCATGGTATTTTAAAACGGTTGTACATAAATTATTTCCAAAATTTATCAAGCATAAACTATAATACACTGTCAACCACAGATAAGACGATAAGAGATTTCTGTCAATCACAAAAAATATAATATTTGTAATTGTCAACTATTCACAGGTCACAGTACAAAACATATAATACACGATCACAGATTACACTGATTACAGAACAATTGCTCTGTTCTATGTTTGTTCCGTAGCTTCTGAATTATGTGTTAAGGTGCATTCAGAATTAATTTGCTAGCCAACTTACACTTCGGCACGAAAGTCTGCACGGATTTGACCAATCAGAATAAAATTCAGGCGACACTTGGTACATGCGCGTTGGCCTCAACTTAAATCAGCTGTTTTAGCTGTATACTTTAGGTTATATTTATATTTTGTTTGTTTTTAAAATTTTAAATTAAAATGTACAATAATAATCCATAATAATAATTAAAATGAGCCAATTCCAAGCTGCTCCCGAGTTTAGCAACGAATTTTTATTACAGTGTATCTCCAATTACAGACCACTATGATAAATCTGGCAGATTATAAAATTGAAAAAAAATGTTGGGCTCACTGAAACGAGCTTCACGAAGAAAATTTTCATAAAATTCATGATTTCTCCGGGCCGTTAGAATTGGTCTTACTCCCCCAAGACCCAGAAGTCTTTTAATGGAGTTTTTTTGCTCGAATTGCTATAATAGCTGTCTTTTTAAGTAACAACAACAACAGCATTGTTACCTGTAAAAGAGGGGATAACAAGTTTCCCATTCTTCCATCGTGGTTAATCAACATAATGGTTAAACTAATTTCAAAATTCCATAAAATTAAAATTATGTTGACATTTTATTAAAACAATCATATTGTGCATATCCCGTAACCGGCACGGAAGTCGGCACGGACGTCAAAGTTTGCAGCTTGCGAGGTTTCACGCGCACTTCAACTCGTTTGCCAGCTCGAGATTTTATTCTGAACGGCTACATTGAAATGCGAAAGGTAAGCACGCGTGGCCAAGTCAGACTTCGCCCGCGAATTGATTGTGAATGGGGTTT